GGTAAATTAACTGAAACATGACCCGACGTATTGTGGAACACGTCACTTGACATTGCACCCGAGTCATGTTTTAAGTGCAAAACGCTTTGAGATAATGAGATTTGATTTCCAAGCATGCGGGAGAACTCTCCAAGAGCATATGAAACTTCGGCAACCCTGGACATGGGAATATTTTTAATGAACAACTCGATTGAGATTTATTTTTCATAAGTCGTATCATGTCATTCAATTCTACATCATTGGTGATCTCTATAGCAACTATTTTTTTATATTTATTGGACAATTACATAAGACCTTAATGGCATTTTTGGCATGATTAATTCCAATAACTATGCATATTTGCTCCATCATTCTATCGAAATTGTAATTTCTAGATAACATGAACATTTTTCTAGAGCCTCCGTCGTATATAGGCATATTATTCATTCCAACACTCAATTTTCCTTTAAATAAGCAAATAATCGGTATTCCATTCGTCATTTTAACTGAATAATTAAAATTCATCATATACAAATTAGATTTTTTTCCGTATTGATAATCATAATTAAAATATTTCCTCTAGATATACAATATTAACTAAACAATATAGAGAAATTTAAATCATAATTAAAATATTTCCTCTAGATATACAATATTAACTAAACAATATAGAGAAATTTATGAAAAAATAAGAAATTTATACTATTTCCTCTAGATATACAATATTAACTAAACAATATAGAGAAATTTATGAAAAAATAAGAAATTTATACCTTGATGAACTTTCGGATCTCGTCGACGTCAGAGAGAATAGATGGTGTCAGCGTCAGATTTGAGGGAGGAAGAGGTGAGTTGGGTTTGGGAGAGAGAGAGATCGAGTTTGGGAGAGAGGGAGATCAGGATTGTTGGGTCAGGTTTGGGAGAGATGGAGATCAGGATTGTTGGGTCAGGTTTGGGAGAGATGGAGATCGGGTTTGAGAGGGAGGGAGATCGAGAGAGAGAGAGAGAGAGAGGAGTGGGAGAGAATGAGGACGACTGTGCCATAGTTTGGGGCACAACTGGGCTTTATATAGCCCAAAAATTTTACGGGACTACTAGTCCCGTAGAATTGGTGGGCATTCAATTGTTTTGCCCAGCAAACCCACGGGACTACTAATACCGTGTGTTTGTTCACTAGTAGTCTCGTACGTTTTGTATATTCAGCCCACCCGTATGTTTTCTGTAAGAACTAATCGGTAATTAATTCACTCAAAACATACGGGATTAGTCGGTAATATGTTCACCCAAAACATACGAGACTAGTCAGTAATTAGTTCACCCAAAACATACTAATCGGTAATATGTTTTCTGAGCTCGGCGTTTTTTAAAATTGACCTAACAAAAAAGAAGTCGGTTTTGCTAAATAACTAGCAAAATTATCGATTTTACTAATTATTTAGGGGCTGTTTGGTTCGTTTCTTTGATATAGAGAAATACAATTCCATGTAAAGAAACACAAGTTTTGAGTTTTCCAAAATTTTTAAAGAAATAGATTGTTTTGCTTTGGTTCGCACATAAAAAATGGTGGGAAACCAATGTATTTATTTTTCTTGTGTTTGATTCGCATAGAAAAAAAAGAAAAACTTTTGTAAACAAAGCAGAGAAAGAAAAAAATCTGACGTGACAGAGTTTTCATCAATTTCACTTGGTTGGGGAAGGAAACCGGAGAGAGAAAAAAATCTTAGTTGACGGCGATTTTAGCAGAGTTTTCCCTCTTCCATTCGAGCGAACCAAAGCGGCACAAAAAAATGGACGGAAACAAAAAAGCTGATGTGAAGGGCTAAAAATCTGACGTGGAGGGGTTTTCTGAGTTTTCCACGCCTTATAATAGCGAACCAAACAGCCACTTAGCAAAAAAAATCTTTTTTTTTAAATACCAACTAGTATTTAGACCCGTGCAAAGCACGGTTTCTAAAAAAAATTCGCATCTTGATTGTAGCCATTGATATTAACCAAGGGCTCTTCGTGATTTTATCCAATATGTTTTGACTCAAATTAATTGTTCCATGTAATAGTATTAAACAATGGCTTTTATTGATAAAGAAAAGATTCATAACTTGTAGATCACGTAGAAGGGAAAAATAGCCAGACAAAAACACATAAATCCTCTTAGAAATCAACTATATATTAGAAGCATGCAATTCAACACACCAAAATATTGAAAAAGCAGCCATATTGAGCTCGGTTTAAACAATCATCCTCATATTTACTAAAAACATTTAGTTAACTTCAAACACCAAGAAGGTCCGTAATGTCACTTCATCCAGAGAATATTTATTGCTTGAATTTGCACACATAAGGGAGTACAGTGAAAATATAATCCTTGATGAAAAACATAAGAATTAAAGAGAAACAATGTCAACCCAAAAGTTGTCAGATAGTAAAGAGAAAAATAAGAAAGTTAAAAAACTGTTTTTTTGGGCCATATTAGAGCCTTATTTCATCCATAATCATTACCATAGTATGGTTAATACATGTAATCAATAGATTTGAGGTATTCTTTAGAAATATGAAGATGAGGGCCTTATATAAAATTAAGAAAGATGTTACGGCCAAACTCAACGTTAAAAAGGTGTTATTTCTAACAATTTCCTATATCTTGAGTGCAAGTTATAAATATGAATCTTAAAGAATTTAGGGTCTAATGTAATGTAAAACCCTAAAGTAAAAAAAGAAACATGCAAAGGAGAAACATTTATCTCAGGCAGGACAATTTGAAATGAGAAAAACATATCTAAAACAAATATCAGCAAACAATTAGCAACAATCAAGTAATTAATTAAGCAAAATGCAACACTACGGAAAAAAAACAAATTTCACTAAAAACAAAGAAAAATTCTAAAATAAAAAACTTTACCTTCCGCATTTACAAAGCTCTCGGCCTCTGATTCTTCAACCGAGGGTTTCTCCTCCTCGATCCCGACCTCTTCGACATTCATCTCTTCCTTTGTCTCAGTCACCGTCTCTTCTTCGACCTTCACCGTCTCCTTTTCCATCTTTGCCGTCTTCTCAGCCTCCGTCGAGGTAGCGGCTGCAGCGGCCTTCGCTCCTTTCGCCGCCCTCGCCTTCGCTCCCCTCTTCACTGCCCGAGGAACCATCTCGAGATCGCGATTATCCGAAACCCTAGAATTCGAAAACTGGAAATTGAAATTGAGAGAGACTAAAGCAAAAGCCCTGTACTTTCAAACCCGTGTAATAATGGAGTAAAGGCCCTCAATACTATCAAAAATAAGAGAATATAATCTTCAACTCTAATGGCCTGTTTGGATGGAGGGTAGAGAAGGGGAAGGGAAGAAAATTTCATTTTAACCTTGTTTGAGAGTTTCATTTTGGAGGGTAGAGGAGGGGAATGGAGGGGAAATTTGGCCCAAATTCTTACACCCCAAATTGGGGTGTAATGGAGCCCTTCCTTCCCTTCCCTTCCCTTCCCTAAGTAAACTCCCAAACACACCATAAATACCTGGAAATTTCTCAATTTACTCAAATAACAACCAACTCCTCCAAAATTGCATATTTTCAACAAACGCGTAGCAAATCATGCATTCACATTAGTGCCTCTCCAAAATACCAGCAACAAATCCAAACGAAACCAACCAACGCGTCCCCAAAACCAGACAAACAATCAAGAAACCCCTTCAATGAATTGAGCTTCGAACATTGCGGCTAATTCCACCACCGGACCAAAGCTGGTCTAAAAAAGTAGAGAAATATCGAGGGAAAGATCCAAGCATAACCTCGAATCACCAACATTCTGATCGCGGACGGGAAATGAGACGGGTTGTCGATCGAATTCCGACAAAAAACGCGGTAAAGTTCTGAGCTTTTCCGCTTCGCCTCTGAATTTCTCTCCGCTCTCCTGCTTCTCTTCTTGTTTCCTGTTTTTTTCTCTCCCTCTCACAGTTTTTTGCTCCTTATAAGGAAACGAAAGAGAAATTTAGGATCGTCGGTTGTGGAAAGTGGGCACCGGAGAGAGGGGGTCTGGACATGATAGAAGATGTGAGAGAGAGAGAGAGGGATTCAAGCTCGGTTGGATTCGGCAAAGAGAGGCGGTCTTTGAAGGAGGCGGCGGGGGAATGGGCGGAGGAGGGGGAGGAGGAGATGAGGATAGAGACCCCGTGTGTTCGGGGGAGAGGGCAGAGAGGGGACGAAGGGGGGAAGTGTAGAGGAAGAATCGTGGGTGGGAAGTTTCGGTGCAAATAAGTTAATAGTTAAAAAGAAGACGGAAAATTAGAACGTGGGTGTGGAAGTTTTATCTATGCTTATTTTGAGTACTGGATTAGTTAGTTATTCATTTTATTATTTCTATTGTTGTGATAACGTTAGGTTATTGTTATGAACAATCTGGATTAGTTAGTTATTCATTTTATTATTTCTATTGTTGTGATAACGTTAGGTTATTGTTATGAACAATCTGATTGGTCCAGATCAGATTTACTGTTCTTCTATTGTTGTGATAACGTTAGGTTATTGTTATGAACAATCTGATTGGTCCAGATCAGATTTACTGTTCGTAAGAGTTTTTTGAGTGTTCTCTTTTAGTTAATAAGAAGTAGATTCCATATCAGGGGCTGTTTGGTTCGTTTACGTTACTTTCCATAGATGATTTTCCTTCACTTTCTTGTGTTTCCTTCACTTTCCTGAAAAATGTTTCTTGTGTTTGTTTCGCCCAAAAATATGTAGTGAAAGTACTTTACATCATTTTCTAGTGTTTGGTTCAACTTGAAAAAAGAAGAAAATATGTAGTGAAAGTATTTTACATCATTTTCTAGTGTTTGGTTCAAACTAAAAAAGTTGGAAAACTTGATTGTGGTCACCATGGTAAGATTACCACCCAACATAATAGTTGTGCTCAGAAAAGGCCATTATTTCATTATCTGTCTCGCCATAAAGTTTATAAAACAATGTTGGCTGCAATATATTGCCTCGCCAATATATTGTTGTTATAAACTTTGGCTGCATATCTTAAAAATAGCCCATCATCATAACACAAAATATGCATACCAACCAAAAGCCAACCAAGAGCTGAAACCAAGGCCGAGAGCAGGTTGAAACCATGCACTGAATTAAAACAAAGGCCAAGCATCAAAACAAAGGCCGAGAGCAGGTTGAAACAAGAGCTGCAAGAGGCCAACACAACCAAACCCCCAAATCAACCAGCTGCTACAACACAAGGAAAGCACAACAAAATGCCAAGAAACAAGAGCTGCAATAGGCCAACACAACCAAACCCCAAGCAACAAGCAGCTGCAACACAAGGAAAGCACAACAACCGCAAATCAACCGCAACACAAGAACAAGAACCGCAACTCAACCGCAAATCAACCGCAACACAATCAACCGCAAATCAACCGCAACACAGGCCAAATCCTCAAATCAACCGCAAGAACAAGAACTACAATCGTCAGGCCAAATCCCCAAATCAACCGCAAGAACAAGAACAGCGATCGTTAGGCAAAATCCCCCAAATCAACCACAAGATCAAGAACAGGTGGCGGGAGAAGATGGAGGGAAGGAACGGCGCGGTGATCAGAAACCTAGGGTGAAAGGGGAGGGGAGGGGGGAAACGAGATTTGAGCATTTTCCACCAAAATCGGGGTTTTTAGAACGGAAAATAACTTTCAGCAAATCGCCACTTTCAGCCCCATTTTCTTTCGCCGCTCAAAACGAACCGAACAGCCGTAAATGAAGGAAACTGACAGATTTTTCGTCGTCAGTTTTCAAAAGGGGCATTTTCCGTCACTTTCAGCTCAATTTTGAGCGAAACAAACAGCCCCTCAGTGAAAAATATAATGGAGAAATGTCCTCGTCAAGCCTAAAAAGAAACAATAATACTTTAATAAATTTCACAGCAGAAGACGAAAAAAAATAAAAAGGAAGAAGATTCCCACCGCCTTGGATGAACAACAACTATCATTGTCGTATCCGAGATCAAAACCGATCCATCAAGATTCCGCCTCTCTCCGTCGTCGCTGATGAGAGGAGCCATCGCCCGCCTTGTCAAGCTCTCTGTTAAGACCGGGCTGGATCAGGCCGAAATGGGCCGGGCTGAGGTTGCAATCCAATCCCACGTTTACAGCCACCGACCTTTTGTTCCTCCGATGCAACCGCCTCAGATTGTGAGACCCTCAAAGCGCAGCCGTTGGATTTGCAGATGTCTGTTGATAGCTGACACGTGTCTCATGTGTGTCGATATTGAGGGTAGACCGGTAAGTTCGTGGGCTATGCAAAGAGCCCTAGTTTTGTGCTATAAATACCCCTAATTCTTTCCTAATCTTTCTTCTCATAGGCTGGGCGCTTTGATCTTCAAGGTAGGGGGAATCAAGATTTTCTTATCTCATTTCTTCTCCTAGTTTGTTTTAGTATCTTGCTTTGATGTTCCTATTTTTTGTTTGGATTTTTTTGCCTCTTCCTCTTAATTCTTGGATCTATGTGACTCTTTAACAATTACTTTGAAATTGGGATAAATGCTTGGTTATTGTTATATATTGAATTTGGGATTAAGATTTGATCATGATATTTTTTTTTGTTTTGGATCTAATTAGTACTTGGTTGACCTCAAAATTTTGGGATGAAAGACTTTATGATGTGTTTGGATGGAGGGTAAAGAAGAGAAGAAAGAGAAATTTAAATTTAACATTGTTTGAGAGTTTTATTTTAAAAGATAGAAAAGAGGGGAAGGAAAAATTTTACATCTTAAATTGGGGCATAAAAGAGGGGAAGAAAAAATTGACAAGTTTTCTTCTTTTTCTCACCGTTACTTTCCTTCTTTTAGTGAGCTCCCAAACAATCTAATTTTTTTTTTGAATCTATGTTATGTTGGGTTCTTGGAATTACTTGTGAATATTTGGTCTCAACTTAAATATTTTATTTTCTTTAAAATTATGTTAATTTTGGATTTAGTTTTGAGGTTTTTGGACTTAGTCTTGAATCATTATTTTGAATTTAAATTGTTATTCAATTATTGATTTTTGTGGATGGTGACAATTATTTTTTAAATTTTTTTGATAAGAGACTTTCTAGTGTTTAATTTATATTTAACTTTCTTCATTTCAGATGCCTTTTTTTCTTGGATTTTTTCATTATTGCTCCCTAAATCTTTAAACGTTTCGATATTATTTTCCTAAAACTTGAGTATTTTGAAAATAGGCCCCGTAGTAAGTATCCAAGCACTAGCCTATAGTTAGTAAAATTAAATATTATGTTCTCCATCACCCCCTCTATATATATGCATGTATGTGTTTTGATGTGATGACTCATTTTTCTACATGAGATATACGAAAATTGAATAAAAGCGAGAATGAAATGAAATAAGGGTTATGATGAAATACATGTCAGAATGAAATGTTTATTTTTATTTTTATATTTGGTCGTGGTCATAGACTGAAGTTGTATTTCTTAGTAGCTTTTTTAGCGCAATGAGCTGTCACCTGATAACCATCAATCCGCATGATTAATTTCACTACGGACCCGTGTGGTACTTTTTGTAGGACGTTTTTATTTATTTTTTCAAGAAGCAAGGATAATAATGTTAGGTGAAATTTATTTTGCATGCTTATTAAAACTTTCTCTGCTTTAAGAAGGTGCTCTTAGTAGTAACTTGGAGATGCTTTTAATACCTCTTTAGTTTTGACATTGTTACTTTATTTATTCTAAAATTATCTTGTCCATTTTGATCAATGTTTGAAAAAGTTTTTTTGAATCTTGCTTTTTTTTGGTGATGGGTAACCAAACAGTTAAATATCTCGGGATGAGGTTGATGAGAGGCCGTTCATTTCTCCGAATATCTGATTTTGAGTTTAGTGGTTTTCAGCCTGCACAAATAGAAATTCGTGAAAGGACGGGACTTGGTTTTCCCGTTGTACCTCCGATGATCAAGTCAGCTGGTGAACTTAAGTGTGTAAAATAAAAAACTATGAGAGTTTTTGTGTGTAGTGCAATATTATTAGCAGATATTCTAAAAGTCTAAAAGTCCCCTTCTGTTAAATCTATTGATAGTGGTAATGGAAGGATAGAATTGACACTTCGACCGAACACAGGATGACAGTGAGTAGATATAGGTTAACGGCTGTGACAGCACCTATCTTACACGTGTCGGTCAACGAGTGGAGGAGAGATCACCTCAGCATTAAATGAGAAGTGATCGGAGACATGTCGATGTTGACGTGGTCCGATGAGTCATGAAGACTATTGGTGCCAGAGGTATGATACGCCTGTCAAGTATTAAATGCGACGCCGACGTGTTGTCAGCGGGAGAGGCCTGAGGCTGAAGTCGTCTTTTAGTTTCGTTGAGAAGTAACGTCTTTCGAGTTGACCTCGCGAGGCGTCAAGTAAATTGGTCTAGTGGACTCGTTGCGAGTCATCTTCGACAAGAGGATCGACACTTTTAAACTCACTTCAAAACTTTTTTAGGGCTAAACGCTTCGAAACTCAAGAGTGAAGCTATTTATCCATTGAAGTTTACACCTCATCGCTTAAAACATAATTGAAGTGTGCGCTTCGCGTCTCATAAAGCGTTTTTGTTTTGAAGCGCATGCTTTAGACAAGATAGAAATATATAAAAGGTTTTTTTAACTAACATTAAAATGGCCCTATGTATTTTCAATATGACCATGTGAATGTAAATAAAATATATGTGTTATGCATGTAGCTTAGTTTATTGTAATTTGTTTCTATACTTAACATATTTAATTCTTATTTATTAATTAGGACATGAATGTATATATTTATAAATTATTACACCAGTATACTTATATGTTCATGATTTTTATAAATTTAGTTCAGTTCTTAAGTTTACACCTCATGCTTTGAAGCATATGCTTCGCTTCATCAAAGGGTCTAACGCTTTGCTTTACGCTTCCGCTCATTTAAACATTGATTTTGATAGCTAAGTTATATATATTTTTGTTATTTTCACTTATAATGATATTCAAGCATATTTTACCAAACACTTACTTATAATATATGATTACCAAACAAATATTTTTAACAGCTTATATAAATGCTCCAGCTATGCCAAATTGGCCCTTCGTTTTCTATCTCTTGGGTTGCTTTAAAATATGTGCTCACTAAGTTCTCTATCCCTTAGATGGCTTTAAAATATGTGTAGATGTATGACAAGGCTTGATGACTATGAGGTGGTTAAAGGTCAAAGGGGGAAAAAACTTGGGTGAACTAGGTCACATTAAGGAGTTTCTCTATGTGTATACATGCACATACATACATAACTCTGATGGTTGTAAATTGCCAGCTCATTTTGCCTGAATGAGCTACCAAAAATGATGCTGGTGAGACCTATCCGTCTAATGTGACTAGTAGGGCAAAGTAACCGCAGAACTTGCTGCTTTTATTTTTGTTGGTAGCTCATTAGCAAAATGAGTTGTTACCCTACATCCAATTTGTTTCTATGTACCCAAAAAACCAGCCCCGGCTGGGGATATACCTATTGCTCACGCTCACTTTCTCTCTTGTTATGTGTGTGTTGATTCTTATGTTTCTATGCTTGAAAGGCAGCAAGACTGGTTATTCCTAATTGAAGTCTCTAAATACATGCTCATAGTATTTATCTTTTGTAACATGACGTGTACAGGAACATCTTCACCTCTCAACATGTCTGAAATCCCCAGAGACAATACAGCCTCCCCCAAGCAAAATGAGTTCAGTCCAAATTATTTTGCATACTACAAACATGTTATTCTAGATCTACTATCTGAGAATGGGACCTGTTTCCTACCTTCCATGGAAGTAGATTCTGCGGTTCCCGTAGGAATGGGTTGTGGTTCCAGTTCATATTTTAGTGAAGCTGTTGCCGTAGGGCTTTCAGAGTTTAAGAAAGAGAGGCTATTGGCAACTCTTAATGAGAGTTCTTCATGTTTTAATCGTGAAGCTGATGAGGTAATTTTTTAGTAAATCAATTTGGATCACATGGTATTCGTCAAACTTTCTTATCTGTTTCTGCGTGTCTTGTTTTGAGTGGGAGGATGTTATCCTTTGAGAAATGGATGTTGTGCCTAGAAAATACCTTTCTAATTCTCATTAATTTGTTGGAGATATATTTATTGAGAGGATGTGAATGAAATCAAACTTTTGATGATAGTCTCTCTTTACTGTAATGAAGGATGTGAATGAAATCAAAATTTTGATGATAGTATCTCTTTACTATAATAGTTAAGGAGTGTATCACCAGTTTTACTACTTACACTTACGAAAGCTGCTTGTAACCTGCATGCTAGTGATACATGAACAGATGACTTGTCTTTTTCTTTGGGTGACAAAATAATCAGCAACATCCACATGCAGATACTCGAGCATATATTAGCAGCAAAGGATATTGATTCAAATCTAAGAGAGAAAGAACATGATGGAAGCTATTCGAAGGCTGCATCAGAGGAAGACCTTGACATGCCTCTTTACAAAAGAAAAAGAAAATCACATCCCGACAACATAAAGTACTCCAGCGGCAATTCAGTTTCTTTTAAACAGGTATATCTAGTGCAGGTGCCTTCTCTTTAATTAACTTCGTCCCTCTTAGCATTAGTTCTATGATTATTGCAAACCTATATCTGCAAGTAGAACCTCAGTCCATATGACATATTGACATCTATACTATCATGAGTGTCTATTTGATGGAAGAAAAGAGCTTATTGGGAACAGGATTGAGAATACAGTCTTAGTTTCCTTTTTGCAAATCAAAATATGAATCAAGGCATTTTGAACAACTTAAATCCTTGCAACCATAAAGTCTAAAAGAACATTGTATTGGTTACTAATGTACTCCGGAAAAAAAGCATTTTCTTCCAGCATTATCAGACCCAAGCAGGTCATGGAAAATCTTATTTTAGAATAAGTTTCTAGCATCTACCAGAAATAAAATTTGATGCTTAGTTATATGATATTTCCTGAGAACTAACAAATGACATGCTTTATGCCAAACCACCGTCATTTTTCTAAATTAATTTAATTCGTTATAGACGAAGGTGATGGGTCTATAACTGCTTCACTTTCTTATAGCTCGTAGTAAGTGTTTTATCATCCAAGTCGTTCCTGTTCGTTATGCAGAACCGGCTCCAGTGCAGAATACACTTATGAAATATGATAATGATGATCATAGGTTATTTTGGCAGTTGACATCAATTTCCTTCAGTCTTCTGCTATCTGCACTGTTCATTATTGATTTGCTGTCGTCATTGTTGTAGCAACTATGCGATTGAAGTATTGATTTTGTGACATATTGGCTGCTTATTGTTGTGCATTCTATTTAGACACTGTTGAAATTAATTCTGAGGGAAATCAAATACTCTTTCTAGAGCTCTGTTGATCTCTTATATTTATACTAAGAGCAAATAAACACATGTTACATATTATTAGAACTATGTTAAACATATTCTTAGCATATTCCTTTATTCTCTCAACCACAACCCTAATTTCTCTTAACCACGCATTTCTAATATATTATTCTAATATAGCTGTAACATCATAGATCTCCATAATAGGTTCATCAACACTCCCCCTCAAGCTGGAGCATGTATGATGTACATCTCTAGCTTGTTACAAACATGTACTCATTCCAATTTGTGACATGACCTAAAAGACTAAAATCTTCACTGTGTCTTTTCTCATTATATAGTTGTCTTTATCTTCTAGTCTTCTACTTAAATGTCTTTCACCACAAATAACCTTAAGCAGAATCACCAAATGCGATACATTGATCTTCTTCAAAGATCGGCCAAACAGAACGATCCTCTTGAGGGAACTACCAAATAAACGATCCTCATTTGGGATTCACCAAGCAAATAATCATCTCTAGGATCCAACAAATAAATGATCCTCCTTGGGACCTAACAAATGATCATTCTTTAGGGATCTGTCAAACAAATGATTCTCTTAAGGATTTAATAAATAAATGATCATTCTCGTGGATCCACCAAACAAGCGGTCCTCTTCACGGATCAACTTCGTAAATAATTCTCTTCACAGATCAACTAAACAAACGATCATCTTCACGGATCAACCAAATTCTTTATTGGTGATCGAGGTTTCTAGGATAGGAGCGATAGTGGCAATGGTGTCCACAAGTTGAGTAGGCGGTGAACGAAGGGAAATCAAGGCGGCACAGACGATTACGAGAACATATACATAGAGGATGACTACTACTACTATTAATTTCAATTCTGATGATCAACATGGCCATCGAAAGAAAGACGGACAAGAATTTGCGGCACTATTCACAGTGAAAAATCACTGGCACTGTTCACGGTGAACAGTCATAGGAAAGAGGGGAGGTTGTAAGGCAGAGGGGAGTTTGATGGTGAGAGGTTAGGGGCTAGGGTTTTGTGAGGATCTAGGGTTTTGTGGAGGCTAGGTGTTGATGGTCTAAATCACACAGGTAAACTAATATGAACTAAGTTGATTAAGGACCGTTAACTTCGAATATCTGGTTTTGAGTCCAGCTGTTCTTTCCTACACGTGTAGCAACTCGTAAAAGGGCGGGGTTTGTTTCCCATGTTCCTCCGACGATCAAGTTAGCGAGGTACTTGTGTGGGGGAAATAACAAACTGTAGCAATTCTTAAGGGCAGTGGAATGGAGAAAAGTGTAGAAAATTGCTTACTTTCGCATTGAGAATAGTTTTTCATTTTATAGTCATGTAGGAGGGGCATTTTGGTCTCTTTCGACTGAGTCTGAGCTGGCAGTTGAGTCAGCATTAACTTTACGGGTGTCGGTTGTAGAGTGGTCACGGAATGGGCGCGATCACTTCGGTATTAATGAGATGAGATAGGCGGCGTACAAAGTCGGGGTGATCCGATGTGCCATAAATAGTGCCAATGATAGAGAAGTGATGGCGTCTATTAAGCATTTAATGTGATGTCAATGCGCTGTCAGCGGGAGGTTCGAGGTCGAAGTTGAAGTCGCTTTTTGGCTTGTATCGAGGGGTGTCGAGAAGTACCGCCTCTCGAGTCGGCTCTCGTGAGATGCCGGCTAATTAACTAGTTGAGTAGGCTTGTGGCGAGTTGTCTTTGATGAGAGGATCGACAAGTACCGCCATTCAAGTTAGCCCAGCGAGATGTCGACTCGACGAGTTGGCTAGATCAGGACCCTGGCTATCCCAAGGGTTAAGTTGATTGAATTGGGCGTAATGGGGGAGATTTGCTTGTTGTTGACAAGGGATCATTATTTGCGACTGAAAACACCATAACACTAGGGTTTGTGTGACTTTGATATCATGTTGAAATTAATTTTGAGGGAAATCATGGACTCTTTCTAGAGCTCTGTTGATCTCTTATATTTATACTAAGAGCAAATAGATACATGTTACATATTATTAGGAATTATGTTAAATATTCTTAGCATATTCCTTTATTCTCTTAATCACATCCCTAATATCTCTAAACCATGCATTCCTAATATATTATTCCTAATATAACTATACAATCATAGATCTCCATAATATATTCACTAACATCTTAAATTTAGTCCCTCTAACCATTACACCAAAACTCTGAAGATATGGTGAGGATCGATAATTATAATTTTGTATTAATTCTAACAAGCCCCTGTAGGTTGAGCGTCCTTTTTATGAGCTGAAAACCTGGATTCCCGTAATAGTAACAATTTTTTAAAATCCTCATTAAATTTGTGGCCAACGAGATCCGAACCTAGGTTGCTTTAATATCATCTTAAATTTAGTCCCTCTAACCATTACACAAAAACTCCAAAGTTATGGTGAGAATCGAGGATTATAGTTTTATATTAATTCTAGCAGACAAATGAATAGGTTTATGTCATGGTGCATAAACATGAAGATAAAGATGAGTAGTTTTTTCAGTCACTGCTACATATTCTAGGTCCGGATGTAATAGCAGACTTAAAAAATTATAGTTTTTTGGTGAGTCTGTAGTTTGTTTGCGTATCATAGCACTTAATCAATTTCACATCTTGTTTGGATGCACTGACAATGATATCATCTAAGTTTCTATAAATACTTGTGATGAATTAATATATTGGCTGTGTTTGATGCCACAAGAATGTAACATGTACTAGGTTGTCCATGAGTATTTTATTGTTGATTTGTTGTGAATAGATTACTTGATTACGTTCTCACAGATGATCATCTAAATTTATCCTAGGTGTATAAAACTATTCAAGCTCTTCAGGGAGAAGATGAAATATGCCACGAAGACGTCGAGAAGTATACTTCTCAGTTACTTGCAAAGGTAAGTAAATGGACCAGCAATTATATAATTAAGAAGGAAGTTCCATTTCTTTAAATTTGAGTGCAACATCATAAACCTAACATTATTGACATGATCAAGCGATTCTTATTCATCTATTACTCCTATTTGCTTGAGTGTTACTGAAATGTGCAATGGTCAAACTCACCACATGAAGTAAACTTATCTTAAATTACTCCTATAATTTTGGTATGGAAATAGAATGGAGAAGTATTAGAAACAATTCTTACTTGAGCTATTTTATTTTCAGCTAGATAAAATGGAAGAGAGTCTTGAAGATTACCTGAATACTGTAGTGTCGACATGCAGGTGAGCCATCAATTCATTCAGAAATTGGAAAGATATGCTTCTACTTTTGTCCCTTCAAATTTGATCCATAAATTTATCAGAATTCTTACCTTATGTTTGAACTTTCTGGAGTTGTTTGGTGCTTTATTAGAACTCTACATAGTGGTACCTACAAGGAACTTTGTTCGTCTTAAGTTTGAACTATCTCAGAATATATTGTCATACTCTTTAGGAACTTCATCTTTGGTTCTTAAATATGATGAGGCCTAGCATACTAATCTGTCTAAAGATACTTATCACTTTTTAGCGGTTAACATTATTGTTTTAGATTATCATGTTGTGGATTCAAAGTTCAAACCAGATACGCCATTGTGTATTCTACTAGTTCACATGTGATGCGACTGCAAGAGTTATATTTACTGTCTTATTCTTTACTGCATGTTCCAAGGCTGGACAGTTAATCTTTTTGAAATATAGACGTGGGAAAATCTCATTGAAATATAGACGTGGGAAAACACTAAAATATATGATAAGATATTATTATTAAGAAGTTATATAGAAGTTAAAGTGAGCTTTAATTGAGGGTACAATGCTGGAGAATCAATTGAAAAGGTATAGAGTATGAGCATGTCTGACCAAAAAGTCCAAAAATTCCTTGAGCTTAAACCTACTAGATTCTTTTTCCCATACTTATCCCCCTTATCCTCACTAATAACGTCATCAACGCTAGAATACCTCTTATCCATCTCAATGGCAGTGTTAAATAGGGGGTTTTGGTGAAAGCTTGAGGAGGGAGGAGGGAGGAGGAGATTTGGCTTGGAAGGAAGAGGGCATGAGAGTTTTGAGTTTGCAGGCCATGATTTTGGTTTGAGCTTGAGAAGGCAGCTATGACGGATGCTGATTTGAGCATGAGGATGAGGACTTTGAGCTTGAGGAAGAGAAGGGAGGTGGTTATGTGGGTTTTGGTTTGAGCTTGAGGCGGAAGGAGGGGATATTCGTGATGGGTCTTGATAATAACTTGAGGAGACGGGGGTTCGTGCGGGTTTTGTTTTTTTGAGTCACCCATCGCCATTGATGAGTGAAGGTTGAGTGTTTGAAGAGGAGATTAAGGTCACAGATGAGTGAAAAATAGTTGTTGATCCGTCTTTACTTTACATGTTATTAGTAAAATTGTTTCTTCTTCTTTTTGTCTACAGCCTGTGATAAACGAATTATTAACTGCAAGTAAAATTTAAGGGATTCTTTTTCTTATTTTTGTTTTGTGCTCAGTAGTAAGCTTTGTAGATGAGAAAAACAAGTGTGTTTATTGTTTTTTATTTATGGATTTGCTCTTGTTCAATATTATCAATACCGTAAAAATTTTAAACCCATTCAATCGTTTCCCCACTAATGTCTTTAAATAGCCCTTTCCAGGATATTTTTTTCCCTTCACTATTGCACTATTTTCAAACCTCTACGTTATCTTAAAGAAGCCCTCCAAATAATGATATCTTTGTCATGAAAAGAACCAAACGAATCCTATCATGCTCCTCCACCGCCAACGTTGCTTCTACTTCCTCCTTTGCTATCGTTAAGAACTCATTCCCAATCCTACTCACGAATAGTGTTAACTCGGTTGTTAAGAGTTTGGGATAAAAAATACTAAATGTCGGTGGAGGAATTTGAACCCAAGGATGGGTCTTCCAGACATGTAGTCGTGGATTGAAAGAATCAACAGAGCAATGAAAAAATGAGTTAGATGAATGAGATTTCTTAGTTAAAAGTTTTACCCTTTATGGTGGAGTGGTAAAAATCGAGGTCGAAGAGGCTTCTACCCATTTGCTATAGAGGGTAAAACATTGACTAAAAAACCTCTATTCATCTGACTACATTTTTTCAGTCCATGATGAAGACTATGTCTATGGACTTCCAAGACCTGAACTCATATTCATGGGCCCAGATTCTTTTGCCAACATCGAGGATTCTTGTTAATACTCCTAACGACTGTGCTCTGGAGCTACGTAAGTTTCAGGTCATGACCAAGGCGGAGGGGTGAATTGATGGGAGAGGCTTCATTGAGTAGGTCTGGGAACGAGTCCTTGATGATGGGGACAGAGGCAGAGGAAGTAGAAGTAACATTGATAACGAAGGATAGCAGGATAGGATCAGCCATCGATTCTTTATCTCAATTTGACGAAGATGTGAAGATGATGTAGGGGTTTGAAGACAAGGAGTGGTAATGAACTATGAAAATGTTGAGGAAAGGGCAGTTTTGTGTTGTTGAGGAGTGAGGTCTATTTAAAGACAGGTGTGGGAAATGATTGAACGAGTTTTTATTTTTTCGGCATTGATGATATTGAGCAAAATCATAGGTGAAATTACAAAATTAAACGGAATAATTTTACCTTTTCTCACAAACAAATTTTTCTACCAAACTCTGCACAATAGAGCAAAAAATAAGAAAAGAATTTCTAAAGAAATTACTTACAGTTTAGAGGTCATTTATTTACAGGTTTGGAGATCAGAATAAGAAGAAACAATTTAATGGAAAAAAATATTTACAATTAATCGTGGGATGTGGGAAAAAAAAAAGCAAGGCGTGGAGGTGTGTGATGGAGCCGAAGGAGTACGGAAGAGGAGCGTTTGCTGCTAGAGTTTCTTGTTCATCATGTTAAAGTTATGAAGGATAAAGTAGACCTTATGTTGATCTTACGGATAAAAATGCTTACTCATTAAGTACATGGTAGCATAATTATGGAAGGGCAAATAAAACCCATTGAGAGAGATGAGGATATTTTGTCAATGCTAAAGATTGGTGCTGACAGGGGGTTTGGGAAAAGGCTTGGTTATTGAAGGGGTTAGACAATTGACTATTTGACCGGGGCATCAATTTTTTCCTTGCGTCTGCAATCAATTTTCCCTATTTTATGTGAGGAATTGGTCTAATATTTTTCCACTTCACCTCCATACAAATGGAGACTAGGATTTTATTAACCATTGCTCTAAGGGCAACGGTTAAGGAGGGGAAAGAGCGAGGTGAAGGTGAAGAGAGAATAAGTGGGAAACATAATGCCCCACTCTCAGCTCTATTTCTCTTATCCTTAACCATTGTCTTCTCCTTAACCATGGCCCTAAGGCCAATGGTAGCAAAACGCATGGAAACAACGTTTGCTTTGTCTTAGAGACATCCCTCAGTTATACCTTTACCTCTTCTATTTACATTCTTTCAAATGATTTTTTCTATCCCAGATCTAAATACTCTTCTGGACAAATAATGCATTACCCGCAGACCTATGACCTGTATTGAGAAGCATCGGCTTGGAAAACAAATCCGCAAGCTCCCAGCGAAGGCGTTGGATCGCGTGGTAGAAATCCTCCAACCTAGTAACTTTTCAGCAAACAATCTTCCTGAGACTGTCTTCGTTAATTTGGAAGAACAGGTAAGTCTAGCAAAAGTTTTAAGCTACAGATGGAGAATTGTTTACTTCGAGTATTCTTATTTCTAATACTGTTATGATTCTCACAGGATGATGTCAAACTGTGGAGGGTGTACTACTATGTGGAACTTGTGGCAAAGACCAACAAACTTTGCATCTAAATGGATTCACTGTCTTTAACATGTACAGTATTTGTTGCAATTCTGATGGAAGTTTTTGCATTATCAAGGTGACATTGAGACAACCTCCACATTTCTTGTGGATAATTTGAAGGGGATGATGATGAAATATATAATGTTTTACCATTTTCTTGAACAAGATGTTTTCAGGCACGACATCAGCATATTCAGTGCATGAAGATTTGAGGATTTTACAAGTGTTACGATGCATATTGACCTTGGGTATAATTGAGCTATTAACTTTGTAATTGACCCACACATAGTATTGTTGATGTTGTAACTTAATCCAAAGTACCGTCATCGAGACCTTGAATTTTGAGAAAATGTACATAAACTTGTGTTGTTATAATTCAGTGACATTGACCGGGCTTTTCCCTGTTCTTGGTCTCATATGTTGGTTTCACGTGTATGTGTGAATGAGAGCAGGAACATCTTTTGGATGGAGATTTACAGTTGATTGTAATTATTTTTTATGAAAGATTCTTAAGCAGATGTTAATTTGTAGCTGATTCATTGGCTGCGATTTCATTTTCTCGACCTAAGCTGCTACTCACAAAAATATGGAATGAGCAGTTTTTGTTGTGGGTCCAGTCCAAGATAAGGCCCACTTGAGGAGGTCTACATGAATTAGAATTCTATCTATAATAAGTCTACATGGATTAGAATTCTAGTTAGAAGATGATTTAGATGATCTATTTGAAATAGGAATAGGTTTGGAGAATTTTATTTAAGAGAACCCTGAGATCAATATTTAAATAAACATTTTTTTGGGTGAATAGTATTGGCTACAGTAACCCGATAACAGGTTGCTACAGTATCCAAGAGGGGAGAGAGAGAAGAAGAGAGAGAAAAGTTCAGATTCTAGATCGCTCGGTTGTCCGATTGCAGTGATTCAAAAGTCGTCGTATTTAGAATGACGACGCCGTCGTATTTAGAACGACGACGCCGTCGTATTTAGAACGACGACGCCGTCGTATTTAGAACGACGACGCCGTCGAGGGTACGATGCTGATTTCTCCGCGGGAGTTGGAGATTTTTGGTGAGACAAGTTTTAAGGTTTTGGTGCCCTAGAGGTAACACTGTATCTTTCTCTTGTGATTTAATCATTAAGTTCATGTGTAACTTGGAGGGATTGTACTCTTGATTCATAGTGAAATGTTTCTCTGGATTGCCTCGTGGACGTAGGCACGATTTGCCGAATCACGTTAGATCTTGGTGTTTGCTTGCTTGTGATATTTTTCATTGGTACCGTTATTCGTTTAGTATTTAATTCTGCGGATTAATCTCCTTAAAATCCCCAACAAGTGGTATCAGAGCTCTGGTTTGAGGCGTGCTTTGGGATGGAAAAGACTGAGAGTTTTCGCACAATGATGAAATTGGATGGTTCCAATTGGTAAGTATGAAAATCCAAGATGGAAGATATTTTGTATTGTAAAGATTTACATGACCCTATTGAGGGAGATGAAGCCAAGTCAGAAAAGATGACCGATAAAGAATGGGAGAAACAACACAGGAAGGCGATCGGTTATATTTGGATGTGGATCGACGTTAGTGTGTTTCATCATGTATCGGATGAGATTAATGCGAAATCTCTTTGGAAGAAGCTTGAGGATCTTTACGAGCAGAAGACCGCAGGAAACAAGACGTTTATTATGAGACAGTTGGTGAACTTAAAATTCAAAGAAGGAAGTAACATAGCATGACACTTGAATGAGTTCAAGAGTTTGATTAATCAGTTAGCTACCATGAAGATGACTATCGATGATGAGCTACATGCTTTATTGCTATTGGGTTCTTTACCAGACAGTTAGGAGACACTGGTTGTGACAGTTAGCAACGCAGCTCCAGATGGTGTGTTATCGATAAGTATGGTTACTAGCAGTTTATTCAATGAGGATACTCAGAGGAAGTCTACCAACACATATAACTCACAGGCACTTGTAACGAAGAACATGGGCAGGAGCAGGTACAGGGACCAGTCCAGAGGTCGTGGCACATCCAAGGGTAGTTCAAAGTCTAAAGGAAGAGATTGTTTTTATTGTGGGAAGTCATGTCATATCAAGAAGAATTGTTGGACATTGAAGAAAGAGCAAGTTGGGAATAAAGATGAAAAGAAGATGAGAAGAAGAAAGTTAACAGTGACACTACAACTACTCTGTCTGAGACCGATGTTATTCTTATTTGCAGGGAAGAAGACTGTATGCATGTTACAAGTCAGAATTCCGAGTGGATAGTGGATACAGGAGTTACATGTCATGCTACCTCCAATCGAGACATTTTCACGTCGTATAAAGTAGGTGACTTTGGCAATGTGAAGATGGGCAATATCAGCTACTCGAAGATTGTGAGACTTAGTGATATACACTTGCAGACAGATATCGGATGCACATTGATCTTGAAGAATGTGTGACATGTTCTCAATTTGCGGCTCAACTTAATTTCGGGTCTTGCTTTGGACCGAATGGGATATAAAATTTAATTTGGTGGAGGAAAATGTAAAATCACCAAAGGCTCTCTTGTGGTAGCTAGAGGAAGTGTATGTTGCAATTTATACAAGACTCAAGCGAAAGCTTCACGTGATTCTTTGAGCGTGGCTCAAGACGGTGACACTCTCAGTTTGTGGCATAGGAGGCTCGGGCACATGAGCGAGAAAGGGTTGCAGATATTAGCAAAGAAGACTCTCATTTCCTTTGCTAAAAGTTCGTCACTCACCCCTTGTGATTATTGTTTATTTAGCAAACAACATAGAGTTTCTTTTAATAAGTCTTCTAAAAGAAAAGATAATATACTGGATTTGATTTATTCTGACGTTTGTGGTCCTATTGAGGTGGAGTCCTTGGGTGGCAATAAGTATTTTGTCATATTTATTGATGATGCATCACGGAAGATGTGGGTCTTCTTGTTGAGGACAAATGATCAAGTATTTTCAGTCTTCCGGCAGTTTCATGCTATGGTGGAGAGGTAGACATGAAAGAAGTTGAAGTGTTTGCGCACTGATAATGGAGGAGAGTACACTTCCATTGAGTCTAGAGATTATTGCTCTAAGCATGGTATTCGACATCAGAGGACAGAACCCGACATACCGCAACATAATGGAGTTGTAGAGAGGTACAACAGGACCATTGTGGAGAAAGTTAGATGCATGTTGAAGATGGCGAAGTTACCTAAGAGCTTTTGGGTTGAAGCTGTTCGCACTACATGCTACATAATCAACAGGTCTCCTTCAGTTCCTTTGGGTTTTGATATTCCAGAGAGAGTTTGGTCAGGAAAAGATATTTCCTATTCTTATCTGAAGGTGTTTGGTTGTAAGGCGTTTGCACATATTCTGAAGGAGAAGAGACAGAAGCTTGATGATAGAGCAGTTCCTTATAATTTTCTTGGTTATGGAAAGATGAGTTCGGCTATAAACTATGGGATCCAGAAAAAAGACAAACTATCAGACGAGCAGATGTGATTTTTTAGGAGGATCAGACTATTGCAGATCTCGGGAGAGCAGAGCAGTCAGAGAGTGTTGCTAGTGAGATTCCAAATATGACACATGTTTCATCTCCAGTACAATTGCATCCTATAGATACAGAGCAGGTGCATGATGATGATGGTCAGATACCAGAGCAGGGAGACGATGATCAGGATCATGAGCAGGAGGCTCCTCAGCAGGGGAAGCATCACCAGCAATAGAAGTTATTTAAATCTTTTGACATGAAGGATTTGGGCTCGGCACAGCGGATTCTTGGTATGGATATTGCTTTTGACAGGAAAGCCAGGAAGTTGTGGTTATCACAGGAGAAATATGTTGAACGGTTACTTAATAGATTCAATATGAAAGATGCCAAGTCAGTCAGTACTCCTCTTGCATGTCATTTGAAGCTTAGCAAGAAATTTTACCTGACTACAGATGAGGAAAAGAGTGAGATGGAGAATATTCCTTACTCTTTAGCTGTAGGGAGTTTGATGTATGTCATGGTTTGCACTCGGCCAGATATAGCTCATGCAGTTGGCGTTGTGAGCAGGTTTCTTTCTAATCCAGGGGAAGTTCATTGGAAATGTGTAAAGTGGATCTTAAAATATTTAAAAGGCAGTTCCAGATTGTGTTTGGGTTTTGGAAGTTCGAATGCAGTATTACATGGTTTTGCAGATGCGGATATGGCAGATAATCTCGATCACAGGAAGTCTACCTCAGGTTGGTTGTTCACTTTTGCAAGGGAGCAATATCTTGGTTGTCCAGGTTGCAGAAGTGTGTTGTTTTATCTACAACAGAGGCGGAATATATTGCAGTTGCAGAAGCCGGTAAAGAGATGATTTGGTTGAGAAGATTTCTGCAGGAGTTAGGCTTACAGGAGGACAATTATTAAATCTTCATTGATAGTTAAAGTGTTTTTAATTTGAGCAAGAATTCTACATTCCATTCCAGGACGAAACACATTGATGTGAGATATCATTGGCTTAGAGAAGTTGTTGAGAAAGAGGAGCTGAAGTTACAGAAGATTCACACAGATGAAAATCCAGCAGATTTTTTAACAAAGACTGTTTCCAGAGATAAGACCGAGTTGTGTCGGCGATTGACCGGCATGAACTCCCGTTGAGGACTTAAAGATTAGCATATCCCCTCATTGGGCTTGAGGGGGAGATTGTTGTGGGTCCAGCCCAAGATAAGGCCCACATGAGGAGGTATACATGAATTAGAATTTTATCTATAAGAAGTCTACATGGATTAGAACTCTATTTAGAAGAGGATTTGGATGATCTATTTGAAATAGGATAAGAAGTCTACATGGATTAGAACTCTATTTAGAAGAGGATTTGGATGATCTATTTGAAATAGGAATAGGTTTGGAGAATTGATTAGAACTCTATTTAGAAGAGGATTTGGATGATCTATTTGAAATAGGAATAGGTTTGGAGAATTCTATTTAAGAGAACCCTGAGATTAATATTTAAATGAACAATTTTTCGGGTGAACAGCGTCGACTACAGTAATCCGATAACATGGTTGCTACAGTACCCGAGAGGAGAGAGAGAGAGAAAAAAAAGTTCAGATTCTAGATCGCTCGGTTGTCCGATTGCAGTGATTCAAAAGCCGTTGTCTTCAGAACGACGACGTCGTCGAGGGCATGATGTTGATTTCTCCGTGAGAATTAGAGATTTTTGGTGAGACATGTTTTAAGGTTTTGATATCATAGAGATAACACTGTATCTTTCTCTTGTGATTTAATCCTCAAGTTCAGGTGTAACTTGGAGGGATTGTACTCTTGATTCATAGTGAAATATTTCTCTGGATTGCCCCGTGGACGTAGGCACGATTTTCCGAACCACGTTAGATCTTGGTGTTTGCTTGCTTGTGTATTTTTCATTGGTATCGTTATTCGTTTAGCATTTAATTCCACAGATTAATCTCCTTAAAATCCTCAACAGTTTTTATACAAGTAAATATTGCATATAATATTCTTCAATTTTGCATATTCACTGTTTCTTCGTCAATTGACAATATTTCTATAGCTCTTTGGAAAATATCATTATCTTAATCCTCATTTGCGGTAGTAAGTTTTAACACTTTTTTCGTAATCATACTTCACCATTAATCGTATCTGCAGTATTTGAAACCTCAGAATATTATTAATTTCGCCAAATCTCGAAATCAGATAAAAAGTATGTTTCTCATTGAATGAATCATTTCTGCTGCTTACATTTTGTTTAAATATCAAATTTGACTGAGATTTCTGTTATTACTAACAACGAGGCATCGCTGTTCTTATTAATATTCAAAACTGGCTACAGCAAGTGTATTGATTTACAAACAGAGCTTAACAGTATCAATGACACAATTTTTTGCAGAAAAATCTTATGTTTCTACATCTGATAAAGCCGCAAGCTAGGGTATTAGGTCTCCATTCTTATGCTGACACAGCTAAATGTTGAAAGACTTTTCCTCGATGCTCGAAGTTTCTAAATTCATCAAAACTTGCACATCCTGGGCTTAGCAGAATCATATCGCCTGTATTCAGGCCAAAATTGCACTGTTATTTACCCGATTATGCTTTTACATAAATAGTTCTCATATATTTACTACTATCAAAGAAAATCAATCGTCGTAGTTATGCACATTTTGTAGCAGGGAACAGACCTCTCATTGCCATGGTCCTTGCACAATTCACAGCGTCTTCAAGATTTTTAGTATTGACGCATGGAATGCGAAGACCACTGTCACACAGTGTCTTGTGAATCATTGCTCCTGAAGACCCAAACTGAAAAGCAGCCAGAGTTTTGATAGTTTGCTAAATTATCTAGGAAAGATGTGAATGTATATACGAGAAATCGAGAAAGAGCAACTTGTTGCTGTATACACAGCATATCAGTCCTCAAGTTTAAAGCAAATCATAGAGAGCTCTACTTCCTAAATGTCAAGTTGATTCCCACTTCTGCTCTATAAATATTGAAAAATGTTTACTTTTTCACACTCAGTTTCGGTGTTTGGTATTAACTTCCATGTGACTATTTTAGTGACTCCTAAGTGGGAAAATCTCAAATTCTCATCACACTTCATTTCAATCCTTTACTGACAACCTATGCAGGAGTTTCAAGCCTCAACATATATAACAACAACATAATTTTATGCTCTGGTGAACACTGGTCTCATGTTCTGTTGTAACATGTGATGCATTTTTATGTGCTCTGTGATATGGTCTCATAGAAACGATGATGTTTTTACTAGATATGAATTTCGCTTAAGACAATGTCGATGTTTAATTGTAAATGTCATATTATTATTTTCAAGGACATAATGGTTATATAGATACTACCCTTGCAGACGGTAACTATGTCATGGAAAAACGTTGAACTAAAAGAGGTCTATTTAGACATTTGGATAAAATTAACAACCAGTTTTTTATCAGTTAGACCCCACGAAAAAAAGAAAAGAAAAGAAAAGAAAGCTCTAGCTAAAAGGAGGGACTCTTCAGACCTTCTGGTAACTTGATAATCATGCTTATGGCATAGCTATACATTGCTTCTAAATGTGAAATTAAAATGTGTGCACATCCTAAAATAGGCAATTAACAATTATTCCTCATCAAAGATGCACTTTGGCATAAGACAAGTAGCCCCTAGCCCCAGAAAACATTACTTACAGTGATGACACCTCTATGGCGGTTAAGAAGTCCCACTAGCTGTTCAAAACCATTAGTTTCTTGATCATTTAATACCTGCATAAGAAAAAAGTTATGATATATAGATGCTAGGCCCTTCCAACCTTTATTCTCATTTTTTAAAAAAAAGACTGGGCTATATTGCAACCGTTGGAAAAAGATACAAGTATTAAGCAGAAAATGTATGAGTAACCCACTTCGATTTAAGTCAAATGGTATAGCATTTTCTGCCCTTCTGCAAGATAGTTCACATCGCCGAGGGGATCAAATTTAAAATTGAAGGAAAACACTATTGTCCTTATTATGCAATTATTAAGTTGAGTTTTTCGAGGATGGAGACTATAAGTAATTAGTGAGGTTTATTATCGTCCTGAGTGCAGAGAGTGACCAACTAGTATTTCAAGGTGTCCCTCTCACATTTGAATAGTCAAACTTGTTACACTGGCTTACTTTCTCATGGGAGTTTGAAAGATCCATGGAAGAGAACAAAAAGAGTGTTGACTTTTGCTATGGAATGAAACAAACTAACAACCATTTCTAAAAATATTACTTTATAAACATCAAAATTGAAACTAAACTACCTTGGCAAGTCCACCAAGAAGAACAACAGACTTGTGTTCGTTGAGACCCATCAATCCTGCATATGTTGATTCAACATTGGTTGCCTTGCTGTCATCTACCCATGTCACACCATGAGCATCGGTGCAAACTGCATTACAGAATAAGTAAACATTATAAAATATGCAGCATTGAGATCCACCAAGACAAGTACTAATACTAGACAAGCAAAGGACCTGCATAGCGGGTTTTCTATTTTAAAGAGCCACCATCCAGGACAGACCCCCTCATAGTTCTATTGTTGCAGCTAGACCCTTGCTGAAATTTTCGTCTCTTTTACCTTCAGAGAAATATAGGATTGTTTTTTGATGAATAGACCCTGAGCGTAAAGGAGTCGACAAAAAATTCACTCGTTGGATTCATCTGCAACATTAGAATTACAGGGGACCTATCCGCAATTGGATCATGGTAAGGGGGTCAATACACAATTAACCCTTTATCTTTTAGGAGAGCATACAGAGGATCGCCTTATATTCATTTCTTTTCTAATGTTACCATTCTATATTCATTTATATATTACCTAGGTACACAATACACAAGCACATCCATACACTACACATGATGCTCGTATAACAAAGAGTCATATAAAAAGATGATTACTACTTTCAACGCTAAAACCAATTATATTTCTCAACCGCCATCATTTTAACTTGACATAAATGTGAATAGCCATGTGCATGCACGATGTTCAATAACAATAATAATTAATATATAAAGGACTTAGTTCTAAAATAATGGAAGTCAGACTATTCACCAACTTGCATCCGATGAGGCAGGAGATGAAGTTTTCCCACTGTAGAGTTAATTGTATCACTATCTATTCCCAAATTCAATCCAAGAACTGAAAATGCTGCCACTGCTGCATTACTGTAGTTGTGGGTTCCCATTGCTTTAAGATCTCCCAGTAACAGATGAGTCGTTGACCCTGTCGGAGTGCTTAAAGTTGCTACTTTTGTCTCCACATTTACCTTTGTAGGAAAAAATTACTGTCAAATGATTATGAGGATGAACCAAAAGAAAATATTGAGGAAAAAAACCGCTGAAAAAAACTATGTGGGCACCTTGATGCCTGGAAAATCATCAATCCAAGCAACATTGCACCCATTTGCATGATTGCTAAAAGATTCATTCAGATATGGGTTTCCTGAAAAGGTGAAGGTTCCTTCAGAAAACACTCTATTTGTTACTTTCTTCCAATATAAAACTATCAATGTGTATAAATCATGTCAGATAACAGAAGGAAGGACAATAAATAGATAGATTTGAAGTAGCCAACCATGCCAGTAGACAAAAAAAAAGAGGGGGGGGGGGGGGGGGACGTGCTATATGATTGGTATATTATTCTATGGGTATGAATATCAATGAGTGAAATATGCACAAGGAGACTTAAAGTGGGGTTTTTTTTTTTTTTTGGGGGTGGGGGTGTTGGGGGGGGGGGTCAGATAAGAGTAGAGTGCCATTAGAAAACAATTCAAAATGTCAAGACTTGTGGTATTTGAGCGCAATGCCTATTAATTGATTGTTTTCTACATCTAACGCTTGATAAATACTGAAATTTAACAAAATGCCATCAACAAATAAATGAGACTAGGGAAAGAAAAGGTTATACTTAAAAATTAAAAAGCTCAACTTAGTTGGAAAACAGACTTTATTATTTTTCTTTAAGTAATGTGTGTTGACCTAAAACAATTAGTACAAGAGACCAGAGTTCTACTTTAAAAAGATCTAGAGCTAATACACATTAGATAATAATTCAAGATTTGGACTTCAGACAAGTTACTAGATGCATCTAATAAGAAATTAACTCTATACAACATGAACATAGCCCTACCAACAGGAAGGACCGCCAGCTTGGGATCCTTCATATGAGCAAAAAGACGGCATTTCATAGCAGCATAATTCTGCATAGTCTTGTGCCTCTCTAGATGATCAGGAGTGAGGTTCAGAACCACCGCAACCTTTAGAGATTCTCCCACAATATTACTTATATGCATAATTTATGAATATTCACTTGAAGATTGTTAGAATCCAACTTACAGAAGGACAGAAGTAGCTGTTAGGGATCTCCATCATATAGCTGCTAACCTCCACAACTGCTACCTATAAACACATGGGTTTTAAAAGTTTGAAGATAAAATTGAGAGAATCCTACTAAAATTTCGAATGAAGCCGCTGCTTACTGTAAGCTTACGCTTTCTACTTGAAAGATATGATGAATAACATTGTATACGAAACATAAATGCAATGTCAAGATTGTCAAATTGGTAATTTTGTGCATTGCGTTGATTGTTCAATATGCTAAATTATTCACTGCTTGTTACTTGTTATGCAGGAAAATATGAGTGCATGACTTTATGCAGATTTTGGAGAAAGCGATTGGAGATGCCAAAGCCCCTATTTCTATTCATGAAAGAAACACTGTTCATCAAAGAATAAATTACTGTTCAATGAAACGTTTAAAGGAATCCTATTCCTCAGAAAACTGATCAATAGGATTCTACTGAAGCAAGATAATGGGTACCTGATATGCATCTTGCATTGAACATGCCTTTAGGCATGATAGGGCAGCTTCCGAGAGAGGCTTTCCAAGGTTTCCTCCCACAAATGCTTTGATATCTAAATGGTGGAGCATCTGCTTCCAAAATAGCTCATCAGAATAAGTAATCAGATGTATAATAAATCAAGATGCCAAATAAAATGAGTTATTGGAACTAATGCACATGTAGTGCCAAGAGAAACTGAGATAAAGAGCAATAGTTACATTTTGCTTGATTCAATATTAACTAGTTTGTAAGGAATCATACATGAAATGTTTTCACAATAGCTTATTGCAATATTAACGAACACATTTGTATCGTAATTTGAAGTGCTAATCAGCTCACTTTTAAGAAGTGGAGGGGAAAAAACAGAAAACACAAACCTGGCCAGCAAAAGAAGTCACAGTGGATTTTCCATTTGTTCCTGTCACTGCCAAAACTTTTATTTCTTTTGGCAATACTTCTGCTGCAAAGTCTAACTCAGACATCACTTGTCTACCCTGCACTTCAACAAGCTCATGCAACTTTATCTAACATCAGTTATATAATCAGAACAGAAAATAATCAATGCCAAATTAGACAGGGTCAGTTGCCAAATCATGTAGCAATTTTCTTAGAGGACTAGCAAGTGGTTTAGTAGAGCATGTAAACTTTCGCAAATAAATTCCAAAGAAGATTTTTTTTTGTAGAAAAACCATGGCTATCAGAAATAGTATGTATATTGCATGAGAAGAAAATGATGTAGAAAAGACTGAAATGAGGTATAAAATGTGTTGCAACATTAGAAGAAAAAATTGAGAAAATATAGCGAAGATATGTAAAACTAGAAATGATAGTGACATATATATAATGTGGTATAGAGAAGACACTGATTATGTATTTTTTTTGAGTTTGGTTGTGTGGAATCTTGATCATCCTGATTATATTGTAAACCCAAACCCAACGTTAATAAAAGAAAAGTTACTAAACTTACGGATTGGAGCAAAGTAGAAAGGTTATAATCCTGGAGAGAAACTCCAGGTGAAACAACCACGCTATCTGCATTGGCGAGGTGTGAATTATCACAATAACCAAGAATTGTTTGAATATCAGCATGTTCTGTAAATTGAGGGTCCAGCTGAAATTAGAGATCATTCTCGGGTCAGAGGTAAAAATGAGATATAAAGAAAAGTAAAATTTAGCACGAAATAACAACTGCTATAAAATTTCATTTTATTGATGTCTAAACATACTTCAAGCGGCACCAACTTTTCATTCTTATCAACAGCAAGAACAGAAGCGCCTCTAGCGAGGGCAAGTTTTGCTGCAGCTCTCCCAGATGTTCCGAGGCCTATAACCTATCAAAAAGAATAAACAATAGGTATGGTTAGTGTCAAAGTCCCTAACCATTACACCAACACTCTGAAGTTATGGTGATGGCAGAGGGTTATACTTCTATATTCTAACATGCCCCCGCAGATTGAGCGCCCTTTTATGGGCCAAAACCTAGACTCATGCAGCAGTGTAAATTTTTAAAAAATCTACTTTCAATTTGTGGCCAAATATTAATGGTATTTGAACTTGGTTTGTTCTGATATCATCTTAAAGTCCCTAACAATCACGGTATTACACCAAAACTCTGAAGTTGTAGTAAGGGTTGAGAATTATATATTTTTCTACTCTAACAATTAGATACTCGTAAATATCAATATATCATGTAATTCCAGCTTAAGATTATCAAATACTGATATCCTTTCTACTGCCTCTACTCTTTAGTGCTGGCAGTTCCTTCAGCTATATGACAGGATCTAACCCAGCCATCAAAAACTATTCTCTTGCATCCTATATCTATTGAATCTACTTCTGACTTCTCACTGATGCATTCACTAATCAACTTAATTCAAATGTCAAACCTTAATCCACGCCAAGAACATAGGATGATTCAAATCCTATCAATTCCTACCTGGATTCAACTAGAAGTGATAAAATCTCCCCAGTTCAGCAATATTCAAACATACCCAACAAAATGAAATTATTTATAGCTCAACAAGTTCACTACTACCAACATTTTTCCGATGTAGGAGAGTTTTAACCACAGCCGGTGAAAGAAGAAACCCAAATTGAAAATTTGAAAGAAGAGGGAGGAGATTACTCACAGCCACTCTTTGGCCCTTGAGGTCTTCGTTAGAGCAACGGACCTGGAGGAGGAGGGTTTGAGATTGAAGGTTAACAGAGCCCATTTTTCCTTGGCAAGCTGAGAGCTTTGTGGGTTTTGCTTCCGTTTTTTAGAGTATATAGTGCGTGAGTTAGTGAGAGAGAGAGGACAAGCTTGTCCGTTTGAGGGCATGTTTTTCTTCTGTTTTCTCTGAAACACCTCCACACCCTGAGGAAAATGAGTTTGCCAGATGATTTTATTAATGGCTTGTTTGGATTGAGCGGAATATTGGAGAAGGGAAGTCAGGGGAACCATTCATCTTGTTTGGGAACACTTAGGAGGTGAAGTTATTCACCCTAGTTCCCATGCATGTTTGTTTGCACCGAAGTAATTATGAAGTAGCTAAAGTAAAAGAAGTAGATGTTACTTCTGTTACTTCCAAACAAAAAGTGTGTTTGATTCTTTGAAAAACTTGCTTTTAATAATTCCTTAAACGTTTATGTGGCGCATAAGTGTCATCCTTACTTTTAAAATATTTTTCCAATCCTCATTACTCAGAAGTAGCTCGGAAGTAGTTGAAATACATATTAATTAGGAAATAAATAATTTTTTTATTAGTCTTTCCTTTATTAGTTACTTCTAACAACTTTTCATTGATAAAATTACTTCCTAATAATATGTGAAATTTATTAGTTACATCTATTTTTATCTTAGTTTTTGTTCTAATTAGCTAATATCGTAAAATTTATTTTATAAATTAATCTAGTTCTATTTTTGAGTTCTAATTGAGTAACCCCCTTCCCTAAGGGCTTGTTTGGATTGAGGGGAACAATGGTGAAGGGAAGTTAGGGGAACCATTCACCTCCATTCACCTTGTTTGGGAACACTTAGAAGGTGAAGTTAATTCACCTCCATTCACCTTGGTTCACCCCCTAATAGTATAAAAATTGTTACCCCCCAAATTGGGGTGGAACCAAGGGGAATGGAATTCCCTTCTCTTCCCTTCATTTCCCTTCCCTTCCCTTCACTCAGTTTCCCTTAACTTCCCTTCACCCCCTACGAATCCAAACAGGCCCTAAGGGAAATTTTTGCATTCCAATAGAAACGATCGTGGACTTCAAATTTGCCAAAAAGCTCCAATTGGATCAAAGATACTAGGAAAGCCCAAAATGATTTATTGGGCTTGGGCTTCTACCAACTTGTATGATCCTGACTTTAACCTTAACCAGCCCATTAGTATTTTTAGCTTATAAGATCTCCGTAGAGTAACATAAAAATTAACAAAATCATTTTAGAGATATTGTTAAATCGACTTTAAATCAACTGATGAAAATTTTCATTTTCAGATCTAACAACATTAAGGTTAATTGTTTTTAACTTTGTTAATTTACTGATCGAAGATAGTTTAGTTGTTTCTAAAATATTGATCTTTTTAACAAACTATTCCAAGAATGGATACAATTTGGGATAAGTACGAATTACTAGATTAGAGTGGTAAATGTTTAAAAAACGTATGACTATGAGGATAATGTAAGAAAGACATAAATGAAAACAATGAAAAATACATAATTGTCAATAGATCCCTTGTAGTATTGCCAAATTGCGAGTACCTCTTATAGTTCAATTTGTGTGAATGGTTTATTGCTTGCACTACTTATGGTCGCAATAATATAAAATGCAAGTTGAACCTACCTAAACAAAAGTATTATGAAAGTTCACAGATAATATTCCATCATCAAGTATAGATTTAGAGGAAAAATAATTTCACGGTCAATTTATATTAAAAAAGTAAATCAAACAATCATGATATTTAACCATATAAAAGCACGTGCATCTTACTTAGTTTCTAAAAACATATCATAGATCCATATTGGTCCAGAGATGTAAACAAACCTTGTCTGTGGGTACTCGCGTTTGACGTATTTGTTTGCTTGTAAAATATGGACGTCAATATCATTCACATATACCTAACTTAGTATCCATATTTGGTAAAATAAGTTGGGATACGCAATCATTATACTACATTACTACAACAGTAGTATTACTGAATACAATTGATTAATGTTATCAGATAAAAATTGGTTAAATGAACTTACTAACTTCTAGTCTTGCGCGCATTAATATAAAAGAAATTGAAACTCGGATGTGCAAATATGTATTCAAACATATGTTCGTATGTTTCAAATAATTTACAAGTATATCAAATTCGTACTAGTTTTAAATAAGTTGATTGAGAATATTCACCTTGTCTGCTGCGGATACAAAATCATTATCATGTAAAGTACTTTTGTCCACGTATTTCCTGACATGCATTAAGGGGGATCGAGAGAGAAATTAAATTGAAACTAATACAACTCTACAGAATTAGATGGTACATGCATACCCTCGGAAATACGTACTAAGGGGGTGTTTGTTTAAAATCCTATAATTTTAGGATATGGATTTCATCATGGGATTTGAAATCCATAGGTAATTTGTTATGGGTTAGGATTGCTAAAACTTTGTTTGTTTTAACAATATTGTGGGATTTGGAATACTATAATTTGTAAAATTTTTGTTTGTTTTAAACTTTTTTGAATTTGAAATCCTTAATTTGTCTAACACTTTTGAATTTCACCCCACATCCCACCCAAAAAAGAGGATTTCACAAATCCTTAAATATAATACTTTTTTATTATTTGGGAATTTGATATTCAAAAATTTGTTTTAAAACAAACAAGTTTTATGGAATTCTAAAACCCACTTTTTGATCCTAGAATTTAATAAAATCCCACCCAAATGCCAATTTTTTTTTTTTAACAAACACCCCCTAAATAAATTGACGAATGAAAAGAAGAGGAGGTCTTGGTAATGACTAACGAGACACGGAGGCAACAAAGGACGTGATAGGGGGGTCCATCACGTATGAGTGCTGCTACAGGGACCCAAAATATAGGACCAAGGGAGGGGATAGGTGAGGTGTCCCCTCCCTATTGCATAATGAGTTGACATGAGTTGGCATGGCCAACTCATTATGCAATAGGGAGGGGACACCTCACATGTCCCCTCCATGAGTTGCCATGCCAACTCATTATGCAATAGGGAGGGGACACCTCACTTGTCCCCTCCCTTGGTCCCATATTTTGGGTCCCCGTAGCAGCACTCCTTAAAGTATTTAAGGGTTTGATAGTGCTGAAATTAATTAGTCATGCTGATTCTAATACAAGTCTACAAAATATGTAGATGGTATATATAATGTATATATCCGCACAAATACTATAACAAAATCAATGAAAGGGTTTGGTAATGAGACATTAAGACAACAAAGGACGTGATGGATGGAGAGGTGAGGTGTGGGCTTGAAATGCAAAAGGGTGGATGGAGAAGTGGTGGTTGGGTTGATTTGAAATCTAACAAGGACCACATGGGAACAAGAAGGATTCCACCCCAAACCCATCACATCTCTAACCCCTTCTTTTTTTTAGAGGAGAAGCAATCAGACACGCCAGACACCTAATATAAACGAGGGGGGGGCGGGGGGGGGGGAGCATCGATCTAAAACCTCAATTTCCTCAAAGTCCAGTCTTTAATTAATTTGCATGCACCAGACAGGCAGACACCATCACCTAATATAGTAGAGGGGCTTGTCATAAATCATTAAAATTGAAATACCAAGATTGGAAATTAAAGATAAAATAATAATAGTAGTAGTAGTAGTTTGGCCCGTCCTTACTTATCCCCATATACTGTTAGATTTGCTCCTTATTGCCCTGTAAACTATTTTTAGTGCTTATAATATGACTCTTAAAACTATTAAATTGGTCCTGTATTTATCCCCTGAACTATTTTGATCACACATTGCTATCACTTTCTTCTCATTATTTCATTAAAAATATAAACAGACTAATGAATTAGATGTGGTAAATAGGGGCTGAATTTGATAGTTTATGAGGTAAAACATGGAGACATCTTAATTTCAAGGGGTACGTAAGGTGAAACGAAAAACAGCTCAAGTGTTAAGCATGGATCTAATTTAATAGTTTATCGGGCAACATGAGACAAAGTATTTATATTGAGGATGTACTAAGGCCAAATTTATTAATTCGAGGGGAAGAAGGGTCTGAAACCTAAAAATTTTGCTAAGAAATAAGAATAATGTTGTTCAGCTCTGAAATTTCCTTGTTTTTGAAAAACTAGCTTTAATATTACTCGCGTATTAGTTGTTTTTTCCCCGACCAAGTTTAGTGGCTGGTCCTAGTTTTAGTTATCAGCCCTGCAACTTCAGGGATCTTAATTAGTCCCACAACTAAGATTATTGAAAGCTCTAGAGAGGCCTCTTAATTGAGATATGATCATTCAAAAAGGGTTTCCATGGTGATTAAAGAGGAAGATTGTTGTGCGCGGGGAAAGTTCTCGAAGCAACACGAACAATAACTCGAGATAAATCATAACTACTAAGCAAATCACAATCACAGCAAGAACAAACTATTTACGTGGTTCGGCAAGTTGCCTACGTCCACGGGACAAGAAGGGGGGAGTTTTTACTATTAGAAATAAGGAGAATACAAATAGAGTTACAAATCTCACCGATCAAACCCTAAAACAAAGCTCTAGATCTCTCACAAATCTCCCATAATTGGATGCAGCAATTCTTTTCAAAAGATTGCTCAAAATCATCCTTGCTTAACCCTAACTAATTACAATTAGAGTTATATATCAACTCAGAAACGAACCGGGTCAAAAATCAAAGCCCAGTCCAAAAACATTCTGCGGTCGACCGCGCAGGTATCGCGGGCGACCGCCGCGGTCAACCAAACAAAAAACCCGAGAGCAGAATCGATTACAGTCATGGCGCGGTCGACCGCGACGGTCGACCAAATCTCATCCCGAGATCAAAAATCACCTACACGGTACGCGCGGTCGATCGCCACGGTCGACCGCCACGGTCGACCGCCTTCAGCTCCGAATCCTACTGCCCTTCTGTGCACGTTCGCGATCGACCATAGGGCTGAGCATGGTTCGGTCCAAACCAAAAAAACCGACGCGAACCGACTCGAAAAAATCGGTTTTATGAGTAGGACGGTTCGGGTCGGTTTGAAAACTTTTTAACCCGAACCGACTCGAACCGACCCGAACCGACCGAATATAGTACAATACTACCCATTTTGATCTCAAACCCTACCTGACATGTCCCTAAAGAGTCAAAGACTCAAACGCTAAACTAATTTTCTGAATTATTATGGGTTGAAAATAA